ACTTTCTCATTTATAGTCATGTCTTCATTCATTTTAGCAATTCCCCTGTGATTGTCCAAATCAAGATTCTTTGTCTTTAAAAAACAAAACAAAACAAAACAAAACAAAAACAAAAATGCACACACACACACAAAAAACATCCCACAGCTCATTAAGTTCTTTGACCCCCATTAGCTGATAAAACTGTAGTCAACTGTTAAAAAAATAATGTCATTGCATCCTATATTCTTTACTGGAAAGCTTCTGAAGGGTAATTTTTTCCTTATTCTGATAAAAAGCAAGCCTCTGAGAAAAACCCCAAAATTATTTTCTCTGTTTGTGTTACATCTGTAGTTAGCTAATTGTTACAGACTGAATGCTTGTGTCCCTCCCAAATTCACATATCAAATTCCTGAACCTCAGGGTGATGATTTTAGGAGATGTGGCCTTTGGGAGGTGACTGGGTCAAGAGGGTGAATTTAATGCCCTTATAAAAGAGATCCCATAGAGCTCCCTCATCCCTGCCTGCCATTTAAGGACTTGGGAAAAGGAAGCAGTGTATCTATGAGCCAGGAAATGGACCCTCATCAGACACTGAATCTGCCAGCGTCTTGATCTTGGACTTCCTCATCTCTAGAACAATGAGAAACAATCTGTTGCGTCAACTGCCCAGTCTATGGTATGTTTTTTTTTTTTAATACCAACCTTAATGGGCTAAGACATCAGTAAGGCACTACTTTTATTTCTATTTTTGCCTTTGGAATTTGGCCATCTACTATGACGCTGTTGTCATTGTGAGGCTTTCAAAACCTCCCCCTCATTTTGAAGGACATCAGATCTTTATCCTGGTGTTCCTTCTGTTCAGAGACCATTGCTCTGCTGCCTTCCTGCTTAATCTCCTAGCCTCTGTATTTTATTCTCTAAAGTGGGAATGATACCTATTTTAGAGAGTTTTTCTAGCAACGACATGGCAATGCAGGACACACTGTGCACACCGGGGACACTTCCATAATCCTCCTCTTCTTTTATCTACCCCAAAGGAATTCCCCACAGTAGGCTGGCTTCTTTTTGAGAATCTTTTCTCCTTTATTATTGTTGATTTACTCTACTGTGCATGTTTACACATATTTCCTTACTTTTCCAGTTTCAGATTTATGAAGCCTCCAAAAAAATGTTTCTTCTTCCATTTTCACCTCTGTTTTATGATCTTCTTGTCTACTTACTTCTCTGTCTTGGTTTTATCTCCTTTCGTTGTAAGGAGAAGCATTAAATAGAAAATATTACTATTGGCTGCTTGTGGAAGAACTTTATTGTGCTCTAAAAGACAGATTTTGGTTTTATAAATACTATGGGACATTCCAAATAGAACCTTAAATCCTTAGAACTTTAGTGAGCTTCCAGATCTCTGGTCAATAAGTCTTACCAATGTGAAATAAAAATTGAGTCACACTTGTGTGTTTTGTTATTGCCTTAGGATAATGAAAGCTATTATTGTTGTTGTTGTTTTTTTTTTAATTAAAAAAACTTTTTTGGAGAGATAGAGAGGGAGCAAGTACACATGAGTGGGGAGTGAGGAGGGCAAAGGGAGAGGAGAGAGAAAATTTCAGATAGGCTCCACACTCAGCATGGAGCCCGTGTGGGACTCTATCTCATGACTATGACGAGATCATGACCTTAGCTGAAACTGACAGTTGGATGCTTAACTGACTGAGCCACCCAGGTAGACCCTAAAGCTATTGTTTTGTGGCTTTTAGGCTATTACAATAAAAAACTCTCAACCCCAGGACTCTCCTACTAGAAGACCATCATGGAATCACCATCCATCTGTATCAGTGTTGGTGGAATCTGACCACTGTTTTAAGAAAGAGGGCACAAGGTGTTTTTCTGTAATAATAAGTCCTTGTTAGTTGCAAAATTAGCTTAATGTCTTGCTTTTGCAAAACCCTTTGGGTTCCATTATTTTCATGGAAGAAATAGCATACTCACATGGAATGGCTATCTTTCACTCAAATTCTTAATAAACCCAATTTCCAAAGCCATTGCTTTAAACTTCCTATTGCTTATTTTGCCTATGCATCGCAAAAAAAGAAATCATATAGCAAAACAATAAAAAAAAAAAAAGCAATGCCTGCCTTTTTGTCAAATTGGCATTTGCTTTTAGTAAGTTGATTCCTCTGGGCTCTTAGTTATGTTTTTCATAGCTCTAATAGGAGCTTCCTAAAAACTCTTTTATTGTATCAGGTATAAGGTAGATAACAAAGTTTGATAGCCCTGAAGGAACATGTGTTAAGTAATGCAGCTGAAGCGAGAAATGAAAATAATAAAGGCATGAGAAGAAAACATAAGAATGAGATAGATTATATTTGCCCCAGTGTTCCTCCATCTAAACTCTTTCCTGCTCTCTCCAACCTACACAGATTTAGGGCAAATACTTCGCTTTCTTTTCCTGCTGTATTTGACCATAGCTACAGGAGCTCTTTGAGGGTCAGCTCTGAGAAGCTGAACGAGTATGAATATACTTGGTTTCTAAAAATCCAACATTAGAGAACGCTGTTCAACAACATTCTCAAATTGTCAGTACGGGGATGATGACCACAGACAAACCATGTACACATCAACACATCACGGCATACAAGATAGCATGTTTAAAAATATTTTCATCATTGTCTTTTCCTGATAGTTTTTCCCCCCAAATATTTTAAGAGGGCTGTGCTTAACTCTGTACATCAAAATGTGAAGGTCACAGTTTGATAGTGTAATGAAGGATGAAAAGTTCATTTTTTAGGTAGATTTATGGGGTTTTTAATTTAACCTTTAGAATTTATAAGTAGATTAAAATAATAATTAATGAAGCAATGACTTGTTTACATGGTGAAAACCCAGTCTGGAGTCCTTGAATTACATATTTAACTTACTAAAAGCAACTTACATATTTAACTGAGTATTCAGAGCCATTTCTTCAGCTGGGGAAGGGACTGATGTCCAGGGTCATTACTGCTCCAGAAGGGCAGTTGTTTCTGTCACCCCTTTCCCTTGATGCCTGGCATGCCTTGAACATAGTGGACAGTGATAGTTGCTAAGATTTATGGAGGCTTACTAAGAGACGGGAAGTGTAGTAAGCCCTGTGCACACATTAACTCACTCAGTCAATATTTGCTGAGAATTGAAGGAGGGAAGAAATGAATGGTCCATGCTTCCAACACACAGAAATGGCTCTGTTCCTCAGCTAATTAAGTGAGCTTAGATATTTTTAGGGATTTCATTATTTTTGCTTCATGCGTGAATTTTGACAATATTCCTGATATCTCTTAGCGTTAAATATTTAAATGGAGTTGATAATGTTAAAAAGTGCTGTTTTCTGAAGTATTTTATATTTCACACTTATAATAACTTTGGAACGTACCACAGTCCAAGTAAAGATCTCAGTGCTTTCTCTTTGATGCCACATCTAGACTTTTTTTTAATTAATTTATTTTTTTTTAAAGATTTTATTTATTTATTTATTTGACAGACAGATCACAAGTAGGCAGAGAGGCAGGCAGAGAGAGACAGGAGGAGGCAGGCTCCCTGCTGAGCAGAGAGCCCGATCCGGGGCTCGATCCCAGGACTCTGGGATCATGACCTGAGCTGAAGGCAGAGGCTTTAACCACTGAGCCACCCAGGCGCCCCCCCACATCTAGACTTTAAATAAACATGATTTCTAACAGCATTGCAGCATAAATTAATTCAAGAACTTTAAAAAAATTCCTATTCAACCTAATACCATTATCATCTGGAGAGCACATTTATGATTTGTATTTTTCTGATGATTAAACTTCTTTAAAGTTTGATGTTCTCATATATCATTAGAATGAACATACCAGTTATAAAATATTAATTACTCATAGTACCCCAGAATTATATCTGCTTTATTCTTTTATTATAAAAACTGTCCTAAATAAATCAACCTAGATTAATTAATGCTCAACCTGATTGAACGACACTGGTAACCTATTGTGGATTTTTATGGTAATTATATCATACAAGTTTTACTAATGTCTCATGTGAGTATTCAAAACCCAATGAAGAGTGTACTACTAAAATCCTGTCATTCATAGCCAGCTCCTTGCTCCTGTTTATAAGTACTTACATTTACTTAGAGAGAAACACACACTCAAGCATACATCTACTGACTTTGTGGGGTTTTTATCTAGTTTCTGTGTTGGTTTTTCTAAAATTGGGTGTTCTTCAAAACAGGAACTATGTCTTTTGATTGTCATATTTAGTGGTGACAATAGCACAAAACGAGTGAATACTATTTTGGTCCTATTTTCTTTTCTTTTGATGTAGAAGGATGTTTATGAAATTCTTTACATGGTTTGGTTTTTTAGGCTTTCGTAACATATTTAGATGACTTAGTTTTGACTTACAGCCAAGATAAAATGGAGAATTTATATATTCTAAATAAAGTTTTCTTTTGGGGTATAGACTCATTATTAATTGCTTAACAAACATAAGTTGCTAACTATATGCTGTATTTACCATTTTTGTAAAGGTAATATTTAGCCATATGTCTTGAAATATTGAGTGCATCTGTTATATGAGTATTCTGTGAAAACATTTATACTCTGTTCTTGGTTTGACGATCTAATGTAATTTTTAAAAAATTTCTTGTTTGTATCTTGGAAAATATCTAAGAGGATTACATAGCTCAGTAAAAAGGTGATTTTGTTAAAAGGTGACGGTAAATACTTGTTTTGTACTTGCGCTGTTTGAACAGAGCCTCTGCAGTAGAGAATTACAACTATTTCTAATATATTTAACTGCATGTTAAACTGATTTCCTGTATACGTCCTTAATTGCTGAAATTTATACTAATCTAGAGATCACTTATAACATCACTATCCAAATTTCATATGGCACTGAACACGGCATTTTCTTTCAGAAGAGTGTAACAGAGCATGAGGTTCCTTGAGGGCTCGGGAGGGGTATTTTGAGGCTCGCTTTGAGGAATCTTTGTGTGTGTGTGTGTTCATGTACAGCGCCTGTTCTTCCTGGAGCCTACCAACAAAGCCATTCCCAAGGCTATGGGTACATGCACCAGACCAGCCTCTCATCCATGAGGTCAATGCAGCACTCACCAAATCTAGTAAGTATCAATTTGAAGTGTCTCCTCTTTCCATTTTATCTCCAAAATAGAAATATTCGTGGAACAGACTTGCATTGAATAGTGTCTATTTTCACATAAGGGATGAATGTCAGCATTTTGCTTTCTGTACCCCTTTGAAGAAAGCAGAAGACTTGCAGAGGTAAACCACTGAGAAAGGAAGGCATGACGTGAACATGTGTAAAGAGCAAAACATACAAAGACTGTCTCAGAACGATATCCTAGTTGTTACTTCATGATTGATTTTAGCCAACTGTGATCTTCCTTCAGGTCTAAAAGTACAAATATCTGGTCACATTAACCTGTCAATTTTGACAGTAATCAAAATGGCCGCTAACCCCCAAATGACATGGCCAAGATAAGTCTTCAAATCCTTCTACTGGAAATCTTGAAGGGCTTACAGATTCATTCATTGAATGTGCAGTTTGGAAGCAGTGCTCTAGGTCATCTTGCCCAATGAGCATTTCATGCTGAAATTGTTTCTCCAAACCTCTGTCTCACACAGAAGCCTTAGCCTGAGCACGGAGAAAGAGGTGGTCCTTCTAAGCAGTTGTCAGTTCTTCTTAACTGCTCTAAAGTTCTTCTTGCCTCCTCCAGTTTCCTCAGCCCATGGATTCACTTAATTTTGAGACTGTCTGATGTTAATATTAACTAAATTCTTGGTCTTTAATCAAAACAAGTATGGTGAAACTCAACATATATTCTGGCTATGAACCCCTTGTCGGACATGTCATGTGCCGATATATTTTCCAGTTGGTAGGTTCATTTTGTTGGTGGTTGCCTTTGCTGCACAGAAACTTTTCAGTTTGATGTGGTTGCACATGGTTATTTTTGCTTTTGGTGTCAAATCCAAATAATCATTTCTAAGGTCAATGTCAGGGAGCTTACTGCTTATGTCCCCCCCCCCCCAGGAGTTTGATCTTTTTAGGTCTTACATTCAAGTCTTTAATTTATTTTGGATTAATTTTTGTGTATGGATAAGATAGTTGTCCAGTTTCACTCTTTTGAAAAAATGTTTCCCTTTTTACCACTTTTCCCAGCACCATTTGTTGAAGGGACTGTCCTTTTCCCACTATGTGTTCTTGGCTCCTTTGTCATAAATTAATTGACCATACATACATGGGTTTATTGCTGGGGGTCTCTGTTCTGTCTCATAGGTCTGTGTTTTGATGTTACTCTCAGAGTATTTTGATTACCACAGCTACAAAGCTTCAACATAGTTCAAAGTTAGGAAGTGAATAATTTCCTCATTATAACAAGGATTCAGCTATGTGTCCCTCAATATTCAGAACATTTAGATACTAAATGTCTATCACTGTGATTCTAAAACCTACAAAATGAGTGTATTACCTATTTTTCTTTTACATACATGTATTTTTAAAAGAAAGCAAAAATTCTTTGTTCCTAATTAAGAAAAATTCATTTCCTCTGCCAGGAGCCCATGGCAGGGACTTGGTGGTGACTTGGCTCTGTCTGTCCCCAGGACAGTTTTTGTTCTCTGAAGAATGTGGAATAGGGGAGAATCTATATAATCTAAAGGGTTAACTGAAGCTGGGAGAAGTTGCCTTTACTGCTTCAAAGCTTACTTTTTCATGGGCTGGTTATTGTATCTAGAGGCTTCCTTGATTGCCATTCTGGGCCCCCAAACATTACCCTTTTTGCTAGCCTGGTAAACTTGAGATGCATGCAACTGAGGTCAATGCGAGGCTCTGGTTTGGAGATCTCCAGAAAGAAATACACTTGGGAACGTTCCTCATAGTTACTTCATTTTGTGTGAGCTGGTCGGTCATGATTGGCATTTGTGGACATAACTATTTGGTCTCCATCGTGTGATCCCCTCTTTCCTTTCTCAGAGGACCTACCGAGCCATGTATGATTACAGTGCCCAGGACGAAGATGAGGTCTCCTTCAGGGATGGCGACTACATCGTCAATGTACAGCCCATCGACGACGGCTGGATGTATGGCACAGTGCAGAGAACTGGGAAAACAGGGATGCTCCCAGCCAATTACATTGAGTTTGTTAATTAATTCTCTCTCCTTGTCTTTGAGCTTTATTCTAATGTATACTAAACCCAATCTTTTTAAAAGATAGAAGATACTTTTAAGACAACTTGGCAGTTATTTTACAATAATCTATCTTTACTTTGACAATGAGACACATAGGTACCAGGAAAAAGGACTGACTTCTGGGCTCAGAACAGCAGCATTTTCAGTAATTCCTGTACACAAAACCTTAAGGTCTGGAGGCCCGGTGCTGCTAATTGGGTTAATGGTTTCCTTTGATTGGCTATCGAACACTTCTGGGAAATGTATTTTTGTAGACTTTAATAGAGATGTTGATTGTCCCTTACACGTAACAAGTCTATGAAACTTATTAGCTGTCACTTTGGAATCACCAGAAGCCAATTCTTGTAATTCAGTAACACAGCCAATAATTTAAAAACCATTTAGCTTTTGAGTCATTAGGGAATTTCCAATTCAAGTGAAAATTGCCTAATGTAATAAACATCAGGAGTGGCAGAACGGCGGTTTGGTTAAAATTATATTGACTGGTGGCCTTCGGGACCTAGAAACTTCTCCCAAACAAAGACATTTCCTTGTTCCCTAGGCTGACTTGGGTCTCTTTGTTTCTCATTTGTACCAAGGCGTATTCTACTCTTCATTTACATTCTGTGGGCCCAAGTCTATGCTTGACTCCATAGAATGTCAGGACCAAATAACGTCACAGCTACTCTGCAAAGGGCAAAGTTGAAGGTCATCTCTATTATTTCCCTAAGGGCTTTGACCCTGTTGCATGTCACGTAGGTTCAAGCTTCTGTAACATAGGCAGCTGCACTGCCCATCCCCATTATTAAAGCAACAAGTGCGGCTGATAACCTACCAGCCCTCCCGTCTAGTAGCCTGCCCATTAGAAAAACATGTTTTTGAAAAGTTGCTTGAGATTCTCCTGCTGCCTTGCACTCTAGTTTCGAAGGATTTACACCTTTAGGAAATAGACGCCTACTCTAGCAAGTAAGTGATTTAGGTGTTTACTGAGCAGCTTTCTTTAACATAATGCCGCTGTCGATTTAAAAGTAAAGCTAACTAAATAGCCAAAGACTACAAGGTGTGCAAGAGACACAACCAGTGAGCAAAACGTCACCCACTCCACAGAGAGATGATCACGTTTGTGTGTGTGTGTGTGTGTGTGTGTGTGTGGCAGGGGGGTTTCTGGAAAATGCTATTTACATCCAGGAATGGAAGTCCAGCCACTGAAACCAGTTAATGGAAAGAGACGTCTTTTCTACTTTCTTCTGGTTTTTACTTTCTAACCCATATTGGGTGGGGGAGGGGAGATGAAAATGCCAGCAGAGATTTTAGATAAAGGCCCAACAGGTTGTTCACTAAAAAACAGAAATTTTTGTCCTATCTTGAATTTCAAATGCAAGACCCTGCAGGCACTTTCTGGGTTCACCACAGAGCTGCAGCCTTGCTGGCCAGTCGTGATGATTGGCCTGTAGTCTGCAGTCAAGGTGGCTGGAGAAATTAACGTCCATCAGCGACTCTGTGTTTTTCTGATGTATTTGGACCTCAGCAGGGTAGCATTCATGTAGGACCTGCCTCCGGAGTTGTGATGAAGAGGCTAAAAGCAAAGTTAAAAAAATGTGATAAAACGTATCAATCTTGAGGCTATCTCCTTTAGGTAACATAGGCAAAGAAATTAAGGGAGTATCTTATAAAATACCTTTTACGGAAGTGTTTAGGAGTCCAGAAATAAATGCTAATTCGTTTATGCTTGTGGAAAGTTAGCACCTACTTTTTGAAAATCTAGAGTTTCATTTTCTCTGGCTCAAAGAACAAATAAGCTTTATTACACTCAAGCTGCATCTACAGGAACTCATACAAAAAGAGATGAGAGAAATTCAGGTAGAAGACTAGAGAATTTTTTGAGGGGTTTTTACGGATTCCTACATACCCAGAGGGACTGATTTTCTGGTATTGGAATGGACAGTCATGATTAAATTAACCCCTATCTGTTTAGATTTATTGTCCACAAACCAACAAGACAAGCTGAACTTGCAACATTCTTGCAAAAAAAAAAAAAAAAATTCTGTGCATTAAAATGGGGCAATAAACTTACTCAATTTTATAGTATCATTAAGCAAATATTTATGTTTCACCCAGACCAATTTTTTGTGATTAGGAAAAAGAGTAGTTGTTGATTAAATTTGCAGACTAAATGTAGGACAGGTACAATTTTTGAGAAATAGCACATTTATAGGAAGCTCAAAGGAAACGGATTTGAAACGATACTTTTAATTGGGGAAAAGTCCCATAAAATAGCAGTTGGTTGTTCCATTGTCTTTCTCATCTACTAATTTTAAAATCAGATTCATGGAATGTAGAAGTCAATAATTATTAGGGGAATAATTCTAAAATTTTAGGCTTTGCATAATGTTTGCGTAGCGAGATGTTTCTCCTTCCAGCCTCTAGGAATTAAGGTCTGCTCAGAATTTAACCAGAGAGCAGTTATTTGTTGTCACTGTTACTAACGCTTGTCAGGATCTTGGGCATCTCAGCAGAAATATTGGAAACATACATGTATGATACCAAAGCGCTATTTTTACAGCATTATTTTTCAAAACTATGTTCTTGAACAGTTTTTCCACTTTACACATGGCTCCCCTCCCCTCAATTTGGCGACATGCATCTCACACATAAATAACACTAACTGCTAAAGAAGGGTGTAAAAAAAATCTATTTTTTAGAAATCAAGCTAAAGACTGTGAAATGTCCAAGCACAGAAAGCATGTACCTGATTCTCTGAACATGATGCATTCTCAGGCCTGAAAAAAGCACATGGAGCAGGTTGATACGTTCTTACAAGGTTCTGAAATAAAAACTTTATGTGGATCTTCTCTCTCCTGAGAGAAGCAGAGCAGCAGAATAGATGACTTTTGTTGTACGTTTTTGTAGTCAACGTTTCTACTAATTCTTGTGCTCTAGGAAAGCTTCCGATTTCTAACCTGTGACAAAACGAGTTCTTCACGTCTTCTTGTTCTTGTTTATACACCCACAGCGTAGCCCAGTTTGAAATACTTATCTGGTTGTCAGATCCCCTCGCCATCCCTGCCTCTTCCCAGGCTTCCCCACCTCCAGAGACCACCCAGGAATTTGCAAGCACAATTTCTACGGGCACCTTGTATGAACGTGGATGAGATTAGACCAGCCCCTCTCTTGTCACTAGGTTTACTGCTTGAAGATGATGAAGATGCCATTTGGGCAAATTGACCCCAGTCTTTCCTCCCTTGTCCTCTCCCGGTTGGGCTTGACAACAGTCTTGGAGACAGACTTTTCTAGAACAGTGAAGTTCAAGAGGTGCATCTCTTTTTTGGGTGTGTTCACCTCTAGTGAAATGTTTTTAATGAAAAGATAAAGAAAATGGGCGTGACCCTTTAATAACGCATCCTTATATAAAGTGGATATAGTTTATACCAAAATTATAATAGAGATATATTTTAAAAAAAAGGTGCCTTTTTGATTACCCTGTTTATCCATGATGGTCTTGGAATGAGAACCAAGCAACCAAGCTTCTTGTCTATTCTATAGTAATATTTTATTATACATGATTGCTATTTTTCTTGTGGGGAAGTGTGATGCTCCTGACAGATATGAAAGGTGATAGCTGATTGTATTTTTACCTCTAAAGGTGTAGAACTTTAGAAAATAGTGACCTTTCCCCATCTATTTCTGAAAAGTTCTTGGTGGATTTATATATAGTCAGGATGCATAAACATTAACTTTAGGTCTGAGACTTAAAATACCTATTGCAAGATAGAAGAATTATGTTATGAGGCTGAATTCATTACACAAGATGAAATTCACTTCATAAATTTCTATTAGACCTTAGCTATTTGCTTCTGATAATCTAAAAGTGGCTAGAGCGTAGGTGTTTTGGGTAATGAGACACAGACACAGAGGTGAGAAAGCTTTAGTTAAGTAAGAAGCTATGTAAAGTAAGTTAAGAATGCTAAAAGGAAAGTCTCTTTCTGAAGTATTCCATGCCCATTAGGGTCCTTTCCAGGCAACTGACTGTCAACTACTGATGATCAAAAACAAAAACAAAAACAATAACAAAAAACCAAGATATTGTAGGATGTTTCTGTGGCCATCATTTCATGATGCTTAGACTACTGGAATCCACTAGCCTGGAAGGATCCCCGGGCAGATATCTCCCCAGATGTCCATATTACTTCCATATATTCATGGAATCCCATATGCTTTTTGTGTTTGACACATGGTACCCAGGTGGCATAGTGTCTACTTCTTTGTAATCCAGTTGCTGTTAAGAATGATTGACTTTGAAGGAAGAAAGAAAACTGCATGCTAGTCCCATTCTTCAGTGTCCATACGATGAATGGCTGAGCATTGAGAAGTGGCACCAAGAGTGTTGTGGGCATGGTGCGGAAACGTTGGCCTTTGACTTGTGATAAGAATACAAAATTGAGTCACTGTGCAGCTTGGCTTCTGTCTGCTTCAAAAATGTAGAATTGTGGTTGACGAATTTGCAAGACTGTACTAACTTTGAGAGCATACAGTTTTAATGGAAACACTTTATGGTTTTAAAATGAAGGGGCTTATAGAACGATACGATGTTATTACTATAATTTGGCTTTTGTTATGCAAATTAACACCAGCTATTAAAATATATTTTAGTAGAAATGCTTTAATTCATGTTTTCTTTCCTCTACACTGTGAATCTTTAAGCCTTGGTGGACTAGAGCAACATCGTGCTGCCCAAAGGACTAACCTATGCAAACTAGTTCACATTTTAGTGGATGTCACAGTAATCGTGTAATAAGACATTATTTCCCCCCCTGCATAATGTACAGCGGCATTGGAATAAACATTAAGCCTAGCATCTTGTATGTATAGTATAGTCACTCACAAACCCTTCAAGGCTACTATAATCATTAGTATTATTATTTGTTTAAAAGCGAATCGCCAAGTTATCTATTAAATCTACTTGAATGATGTCAGAACAAGAATGAGAGATGGACGTGTCGGCTGTGGCTTCATTGTGGTCACTGCAAGTGTCCTCCTGTGATTGAGCTGTGTTCGGATGCACTTTCTTCAGGATATTATTATTCTATGTCTTCTTTCTGTATTTGTAAAATGTTATAACGCTCTGATTTTCCTATCTCTACATATTCGGTTTGCTTAAATAAATGCAGGATATAACAAAATGGTTCTACGTCTTGGTTCTCACCTCGGTTTCTTGGAGCTGGGGTCATTGACGGTGCCCCGGGGACAAGGTTTATCATGACAATGCACAGTAAATCACATTGGAGGCCCCGGCTGGCTTCGGTGCCCTTCCATTAGTGAGTCACTCAAAATGTGTCTTCCTCCCCCAAATAAAGTTAGTTTTAAATGATAACAATATTATGCTTTTTCAAGCTGAGTATCTTTCTGATTGTGTATCAGAGTACACCAATAATACAGCATTGTAGTTCACTTCTTTCGAGATTAAATCCCTCATGTGTTCCCAATAGTAGAATTTTAATTTTCTTGTAGTAGTAAGATGAAAGAAACAGCTTGAAGCAAAGAATAGAAAATGCGCAAATTGAGTACATGAAAAGGAGAGATGCTCTGATTTCTCAGCTAAGAACGGCTCATTTATCATAGAACATAATTGCTTTTTTCCCCTAATTTTCCCATAGTTGGAAAAAGTAAGTTAGTCCCTATTTTTACCCTAGTATAAATCTATTGAGACTGGGATCTTAGCCTTACTGTATTATTGTGTAGAAGTTCCTCTTTGAAGGGGCATAAACCCTCCCAGTTGTACACTGATGAACAGTATGGATGACGCATTTATTTAAGAAAAATTTTTAAAAGATTTTATTTATTTATTTGATAGAGAGAGGGTTGTGTGTGCATGTGAGAGAGAGAGAGAGAGCACAGCCGGGGGGAGGGGTAGAGGGAAAGGGAGAAACAGACTCCCCTCCTCTCCCCCATGCTGAGTGGGGAGCCCAACATGCGACTCGATCTCAGGACCCTGGGATCATGACATGAGCAGACACTTAACAGACAGAAC